GAGCGCCCCCTTCAGGTGTCCCTGAGGTTTACAGCAGCCATGGAGGGAGCCCTTTGTACTGGGAGAAGCTGCAGAGTTCTGGAAAGCAGGGGATTATGTCCATTAGTTTCCCTGACCCAGAGATTTTAAGTGACACCCAAGGGAAGCCTCCATTACCTTGGCCATTGAAGCCTCCTGCGTGCTCCCCAAAACCCCCAGCAGTTCCCTCTGCAGTCCCACAGTTATGTCCTGAGCAGTGGGGTACCGTGTGATGAGAGGGGCTAAGGGATGGGATGAAGGTCTTTCTTGTGTTATTAGAACGGTTAAAAAGTTGTTTTAAAGGTGTCCAAATGCCCTCCTTCTTAAACCTAATTAGATAATAAGATGCCTTATACAAGCAAAACCAGGTACGGGAAAGCAAGTGCATTTCAAGCCCCAGCTCACCCCTTAAATTAGCTGTAATACTCTCAGCAGGCGGCCCCACCTCAATGAGCCTGTCTCCCATTCAAAAACAGAACTAATGAGGGGGCGAGGCCTGGAGCTTTACCCAATCAGTGGCGTTGGAGTGGAAATCGTCCAATCGGGAGCAGCCGGAGAGCAGGGGCTGCTTCTGGGATTTGGCGGGGGCCTTTGTTGACTGCAGTGAGAGCTGGGTCTCTTCACCAGGGTTCCGAGTCCTTCCACCTGGGAGGCCCAGGCGGCTTCGCGTTCTGAGAATAGACGGAACCTCTGTTGCTCTGTGACCTGCAGGCACTGGGAGCTCCGTAGCTAAGACTCCAGGACATCCCGGAAGCTGGGAAATGGTGAATGTGCCAGGTCGGGGGTCCCCAGAGGAGGGAGAGGGGCGGTCGGAAGCGGCGGGAACCCGCTTTGGGGGCACCCGGGCCTCCCCAGGGTCAGCTCCGTGGTGTGGTCCCCGGGTCCCCGCGGGCGCAACTCGGCCCTTGGTTTCCTCCGCCGCAAGATGGCGGCCGGGTCGGCAGCCGGGCCCCCGCGCGTCCGGTCCGGTCCCGACGCCGCAGAGCGACACCTGGCCCTGGCAGGAGCCGTCTTTGGGCAGCTCTCTTATACACATCTAGATGTGTATAAGAGACAGATGGCGGCCGGGTCGGCAGCCGGGCCCCCGCGCGTCCGGTCCGGTCCCGACGCCGCAGAGCGACACCTGGCCCTGGCAGGAGCCGTCTTTGGGCAGCTCTGTGCTGCAGCCCCGCGTCTCCTCAGATTGTGCGATGAAAACGTGAGGGTCTCAGGGGAAACCCCGGGTCGGTGTGTGATTCGTGTGTGGGAAGATACTGTGCCCCATGGTGTCCCAGTCTCCTTTTTCCTCTTACAAATTAAAGGGACTCACCCTTAAAGCGTGGAAGGGTTTATTTGGGCAAACAGCGATTGGTGAAATGGGAAGCCTGCCGCCGTGGTTTGTGGTTTAGGGTCCTCTGGAGCGGCGATTTCAAAATCCCAGGGCTTAGCTTGGAAATGCTGGGGAAAAGAAACGGGCAATCTCTCTTCCACTATGGCTGTCGAAAACGAATACATTTCCACAGAAGGTGTGCTGGATTAATTGGTCAATTAGAAACATTCATTAAAACGTCAGGGCCTCTCTTGCAGTGGAGGATTTGTGACAGTGGATATCTCTGTTCCATATTCTACTGCTATCTGGATGTCCGAGTTTAATGCCAGATTTTATGAGACAGAACTTGGCACCTCCTAGAAGTGTTCACATATACTAAATTATCTGCTGTTATGGAAATAATTAAATGACATGTTTCTTGCCCGAAAGAGGTATTGTGGCCTTACCTGTTGAAGTATAAAGTATAAGTGCCTTACCGTTTCCTTCCTTTCTATAAAAACGGTGTTTGAGTGATTTATGCTGTTTTCCTGGAACCTGTTAGGTCACTGAACATCTAACTGGCGGGGCACCTGCCCCTGTCCCTTCAGTTGAAGTAGGATTGGCATCACTCCCCAGAAGGCGTGCAGTGCCAGGAGAGTGGAAGAAGGTCTGACGTTTGCTATCCTGGGGTAGGTTTTAGAGCTCGCTCGATGCTTGTGGAGAGCTGATGAGATGAGAAGAAGGCATCCCACCTTGATGGACCTGAGAGACAGAGCCTGCGAAGTGAGAAGCGGGCCTGTGGAATAACCCTGACAAGGCATAGAAGACCTCAGTCTTACTTGAGCCTGCAAAAGGAGGTCATTGAAGGCCCAGTTAGTTCTTCTTGGGGAGCGCCCCCTTCAGGTGTCCCTGAGGTTTACAGCAGCCATGGAGGGAGCCCTTTGTACTGGGAGAAGCTGCAGAGTTCTGGAAAGCAGGGGATTCACAGGCGATGTGGTGGAGGTTGGGCTGGAAGGGAGACTGGGAACCTCTTTCTGAGGGTGGAATTGTTAGTGTCCTGGAGCTGTTTCTTGACTTTGTCAAATAAAACATCTGGATATAGGTAAGAAGTTCCTTAATTCTAAAGGAGTATTGCAAGAGGAGGAAAGCACCAGCTGTAAGATATTTGTGGATCTCACAGTTGAAGCAGAAAAGGCCTTTCTTTCATAGGGAGGAGCACACATGATTAAAGGTGGGAGGGGAAGGGCACGACTCTGGGGCAAAATCAGATCCCTGATCAGAGAATGTTTCACCCTGAAGTCAGCCTGTTCTTGGGAGGGGCATAAAGAGGGGTTGAATGTTGGCTCAGGCTGTGGGTGGGACAAAGCTCAGGGACCTGGAGAAGGGGAGAAACTTCAGCAAGCTTGGTTAACACATATTTTGTTTTGACCACGGAAGACAAAACTCTTTATTTAATTGCTTATTTTGGGGGAAAAATGAAATAGGAGAGTCTGTGGCTTTGTGATACCTAAAACAGGGAGCATCATCTAAGTCATAACGGGAAGAGGATTCTTTGCAGTAAGCTGCTCTTGCAGAACACAAAGAAAGGGGGATTTCTTTCATCACAGCTGCTTCCCAGGGTTAACCACCAACCCCATCTTTTCCCCATTCCTTTCTCTTGCCCTACACATCCCTTCCATTAGGCTGAGTTGTATCTTTTATAATAAACTGGCCAGTGCAATTACAGTCTTTGCTGAGTTCTGTGAGTCCTTCTATAAAATTAATGAACTTGAGTAGCGTATTATGGGAGGCCCTAACTTTCAGGCAGTAGCTCAGAAGTATAGATGGACCCTGGGGAATTGTGACTGACATCTGTAGAGGGGGCAATGTTGTGGCACTGAAGTCTGAATGAACTTGTGGGGTCTGTGCTGCCTCTGGGTGGTGTCAGAACTGAGTTGTTGGACAACCAGTTGGTGTTGGAGAATTGGCTGGTGTTCAGCAAACTCCACACATTTATTGTCGGAAAGAAGATAGCACAGGGACCTGGACTGGAGAGAGACTCTGGGTGTCTCCAGGAAGGGAGGCTCTATTCTCCTGCACACAGGGTGTCACCCTACACATTGTCCTGTTATTGCACATCTCCTCCCAGGGAGAGAGGCGACTGAGGATAGAAAGGGAAGAAGTTCTGAGAACAGACCCCTGCCCCCACTGTGCTGCTACCATATAATTCCCACCCACTCTGAACACACCCACTAGGCACTGACGTGGCCACACCCCTTTCAGGACAAGACTTGACCCTCAGGAATTGTGCCCGTAGCACCTTTGCTCCCAGAGTTTCCTGCCAAAATTCCCATACAAGTGCCTAGAGGACTCCTGGCTCATCCTTGTCCCCAGACCCTGAAACTGCAGCAGCAACCTAGTCCCTCCATCAACCTAGGCTTGTGGACTACCCGATCATAGTCTCATCTGCCTGCATGGACACAGGAATAAGTCAGAGCCCCGACTAGGCCAGTATCTGTAGCACAAACCAGTCCTTCCACCAATTCTGCACTGCCCCCTACTTGAGAGTTCTTAGTAGCACCTTCCCTTCTGCCCTTTAACTTCCCCACAGACCCTGACAGGGTCTCACTCTGTTGCCCAGGCTGGAGTGCAGTGGCAGGATCATGCAACCTTGACTTCCCTGGGTTCAGGTGATCCTCCCACCTCAGACTCCCAAATCGCTGGGACTAGAGGCATGTGCCCCCCGACACCTGGCTAATTTTTGTAATTTTTGTAGAGACAGGGAGAGTCTCACTATGTTGCCCAGGCTTGTCACAAACTCCTGGGCTCAAGTGATCCACCCGCCTCCCAAAGTGCTGGGATTACAGGTGTGAGCCACCATGCCTGATCCACAAACCCCTTTTTTACGTGCACGCAGCGTGTCCAAGCCCAATCCTCAGGTGCCTGAATCCAGCGCCTGCTGGAATTCAGATGTCCATGAATTCAAGATTGTGGCCCTAGATCTTGCAGTTGTGAGAACAAGTACAAATTAAAAATATATGACTTAACCCTTCTTGAAAATAAGGGAAGACATGTTTCTCTCCTTCCTTTTCTTGAATCATTTACTTTAGAGAATTTTTATATGTAAATTTTTTTCTGCCTTTTGGACGTATATCTAAATCATTGTAACAGCTAAACAGATCTTTTGTCTCTTGTCAATCTTTGTTGTTGTTGTTGTTGTTGTTGTTTTTGGAGTCTTGCTGTGTCGACCAGGCTGGAGTGCAGTGGTGCCTCTTGGATTCAAGTGATTCTCCTGCCTAGCCTCCCAAGTAGCTGGGATTATAGGTGCCTGCCACCACGCAGGGCTAGTTTTTGTGTTTTTAGTAGAGATGGGGTTTTACCATGTTGTCCAGGCTGGTCTCAAACTCCTGACTTCAGGTAATCTGCCTGCCTCAGCCTCCCAAAGTGCTGGGATTACAGGCTTGAGCCACTGTGCCTGGCCATCAGTCTTTTTGATTGGGGACATTCTTTCTCTAGGAACTGGGAATCATTGATTTGAAATATAGGTAACAAAGAAGAGAGAGCCATATCTCACAGTTTCTCTAGGAGAGCAGGCATCTGCCTTCAGGCCCCTGGCTCCACGTTGCAAATCTACCTGTCACGAAGACATGAAGTTTATTTGTCCTTATTTAAGGAAAAATAAGGCCAATTAAAAAACACAGATGGCCTCCCAGTTCCCAGGTGAATTTAGGATGCACTCTATCTGACAAATGGTGCTGTCAGGTCTTCTATTGAGGACTAATGGTGAGTCATGAGTGACTGTTTTTCCAGTCTCTTAGCAGATTGCATGTAATGTCCTTCACATTTGGTCTGATTGTGTCATAAAACAGTTTTCTTTCTTTTCTACCATTGTGCATTGTTTTTCTGATGATTCTGTTTTTAATTGTATTTCCCAAACACTGAGACATGTAAGGTGCCGCAGGCCTCACTCTAGAGGCGACGTTCCCTCGAAGACTTCCCGTCACAACCCACAGTTGTGCAGCAAAGTGCCCATTGCCCCGAAAATCTGCAGGCAGAATGGTCTCTCTGCTTATTTGGAATCTTCAATCCCTTCTAGAACAGTTGGCCAGATTTCTACAGAAGTAAGTTCACAGGGCATCAGTTAGCCATTCCGGCTCTGTCATGCCCCTGGCATCTTCAGACCTGAAACTGATTTAGAGACCATGGGGACTGGAAACCAACCAGGCACACACACATACATGGAGTAGGCCTGAGAATCTCAACATTCCCTTCATCCTCTTGCCCAAATGCCCATGAATGTGCGGAGGGTGCATGCCACTTCCCTGCCCCTCCAACACCTAAATCTGCAGCCCCAAAAGTTGAACCCAGGTCCTGGGGTTCTCCAGGATGTGTGAGAGCAGCCTTCCTGAGGGGCTGTCTCCTCTAGTTTTCCTCTCTTCACAGCAACACCCAAGAATGCAGAGCCAGGTTGATTCCGTCTGGGGTCTGCACATAAAGGCTGATCTCCACCTGGGATCCACAAGACAGGGCCAGACTTTGGACTGAGGATGTATAGAAAATCCAGGGGACAGTTTCTGCATTATGAGAGATTGATGTAGACCTTGTAAAGCCCTACTTTTTGTGTGGGGTCCTTCAAGTTTTCCAGATCTTGTCCAGTGAGCTGCTGCAGTTATGTGAGGGCCTTCTGGTCTAAGCAGAATATGGTGGCAGAATCTGTAAGTGTAAAGCAGCATCTTAGCGAAGGGAGGGCAGGGCCACCACTGTCCAGAGCCATGAATAAAACGACACCTACCTGTGAGCTGCGTTACTGGAGTAGGGTAATCTTGCCCTTTCTTGTACCCAAGAGTTGGCTGATCAGGTATAGGTAATATTATGCCTGGCTCCAGAATCTGTGGCTCCACTGGGGCGGTTCCACTTTCTATCCCGGCCCCACAGAGTCAGCCTGAGTCTGTCCTGCCCAAATCACTATTGGGGCCTGAGCACAAGATCACCAGGGACTCCCTCACCAGCACCTTGAGACATTTGGTGATGTCCTGTGCAGACTGAGGTCAGGCTGACAACAGGGTCTAATTTCTTTTCATCTCAGAGGGAAAGGAATGCATTATCCAGGATTTGTTCCTCCGCTCTCAGAAGGAATCTGTTTATTTGGTATCCAAATGGGATTTGCTCCAGTTTTCTACTACGTGGACGAAGAACAAAGAGGAGTTCTGGAGTCTCATACTGATAGGTAAACCAATTGCTTCCATTTCATGTGGCCATTAGATCAACACTTGTAGCAGCCATAGTCCCTACCATCCAGGAACCTTCAGTCTAGAGCAGATGAATAATGGCCAAATTCAGCATCATGTGGTCCTGTGCAAGCACGGAGGTATATGGGGAACTTGGGCTTGATTTGGGACACTGCCCTTATGTTGACATTGTGAGTTCTGATGTCACCACCCGAAGTGCCACCCATGGACAGAAGAGTTGTTATTATTTCTATCGATTTTCTCTTGATTTGGTTTTTAACATAATTTCCCAGAAGGCCCTACATGTTTTGACTAAATTGCTTGTTAATGGATTTACAAAATAGTTAAGGATGAAACAAATAGTTAAAATCAGAAAAACTCTGGGAGTCAAGTTCTTGTGGTCAGGCTTAGGAAAGACAGGACTTACATCAGCAAGATAGAGATGGGAAGCCTAGGGCCTGCCACGTGCCCCTTGCCTTGGTCTGCCCTAACCCTGCCCAAATCCACCCTCTTCTGAGCTTGGTTCAGGTCTGGCTCCACCTGGGAGCCTACCTTCACAGAACTGTTTGTTGGAGATCAGACTTCTGAGTGGTTGCTCTTGCTGGTTCTCCAGAGCCAGTGCTCACAATTTCCCCAAACCCAAAAGCAGTTAAATGGGAGCAAAGGACAATATGGGGGCCTGAATTTTTTTCTTCTTTGAAACAGTGCTTCTAGAGACATCCCACCTGGCAACCTTTTTTCCATTCCTGCAGGTCCAGTAGTTGCTCCGCAAGTAGTAACAAAGTCAATGTAAAGACTACAATGAGAAATCCTTATGAACTAAACTTTACCCTTCTTTTCCGTATCCCTCCCATCAGTCTGTAGTTAGCTTTTGTAGTGACAGGGAAACAGAAGAAGAGAGAGAAAGGCTGGGCCGTCATCTAAATCTTGCAGGGAATTATGGGATGCTCAGGACCCACATCCCAGGGGTTTATGTGGCTTAACCCACATCATGTGATGTTGCCAGCACCGTGCATATTGTGAGCACATAGTACAAGCTCAGTAAACAGTGCTTTCATGCATGTATCCATGCTGTTTTCCAAATGCTGACTTAGATGTTACTGTTCTCTCCAGCCTCTGCAGACTTTAAATGGCTGGCAAAGGATGTGATTTTTCAAGACAGTGGTTGGTGGTCCTCGCTGTGAATGAAAAGTATTTGTATTATACTTTATTGAGTGTAAGGGACTCTGTGTGCTGTGCCCGCTTCCTCTAGCTGTGTGCTAATGATAATGGGTCTTAAGCCGATTCATGGAACTTTTCCAAACCTGCAGAATCGCAGTACTTAGCACAGGCCCCAGAATACCAAATGATGTGTATGCATATTGAAGCTTGAGAGGAATGCTTAGCTAAGTGGTTCTCAGCCCAGGCTTCTAAGTAGGGTCACATGGCCAGTTTGAAGAAATATGGCCACCTGTATGTTCCTCCACAGATTTTATTATTATACTCGGATCATGATTTACTTTCTTCCCCCACTGATATCACAATAATGATTATGGGTCCATCTGTGCGTCAGCACTGATACCGGTTCATCTCATTACAGCCGATGCTAACTTCATTCCTCTGGTTCGGGTGCTCTCTGCCGGATTCCTTCACTAGTTATTTTTCTCTTTGTTGTTAATGAGTATCTAGGAGGGAGGATTTACTGAGTGATGCGTATAAACCATCTCATTTAATCCAGAGACTCCCATTGCTTTCTAGTTTCCTTTTGCTTGTGGGTTGCTTTGGAGAGTGAAGGCTCTCGCATTTGTTGACTGTAAATACTGGTTTTTGAAACTGGAAGTTCTGAAACAAGCCTCACTTCTGTAGGTTTCCTTTTTAATTTACTAATTTCACAAGCACACACTCCTTTATTCTCTGTATTTTCAGAGAAAGATAACAACAATTAACATATAATTAATATATCTACTGTCTTAATATTCTAAAATATAACACAGCACTTAGAATAAATAAAACAAAAACTTGGGGGAAAAAAACTAGACTCAGAAACAGAAGCTCTTTATTTTAGTTTATATCATTGTATATATTAGTCTTCATAGTTTGTTAAAAAACAGAAAAAGGCATCATCCATAAAGAGTTTTATAGTTTTAACACAACTTAAAATATTTCTTAATTAAGAAATGTTCTGTCACTTTTCATGTATGTATAGTTACCATTTCTATGTGTGTGTGTGTGTATGACATAAACATCATTTGATTAGTTTTGTGTTGCTGCCTTCCTGTTTTCATCATCTTCTCAGTTGTGACATCTGCTCTGAACATTCTTTTATACTTATCTCTGCATATTGGCCTGTTATGTCCCTTTGAAATGAATTCTAAGTTAGATACTGGGGTAAAATAATAAATAAATATAAATAAATATAAATAAATAAAAAATAAAGTAAGCTCTATTATATACTAGATATTTGGCAAAAATTTTTTTTTCAGGCTTGAGACAGGGGAAGCATTAGCAAAACATTTTTATTAAAGAGGAAGAATAGTATTATTTCTCACATAGATTATTTTTATGGTTTTATCAATAGATGAAAAACTGCTAGGATGACATCTAGGAAATAGTAAATGTTCAAAAAGGATTCTTCTATTCTTGCTATTATGTTATAACCCGTAAATTTCATAAAACTCTCAATTCCACATCATCCCTGCATTCTTCCCTCAGTGTTCTACCTCTCTGCTGTTCAAAAGTGTGGCCTCTGGACCTGAGGCATTGGCATCACTGATGAGCTTGTTAAAAATGCAGAAACGCAGCCCCAGCCCCAGCCCCAAATCTCCGGAATCAGAATCTGCATTTGAACCAGTTCTGCAGTTTATTGTTGAATACAATACAATTTGAGAAGTATGCCTCTAAGTCACCATGACTTTTCCACCTAAGAATTATACACAACTGATTGTGGATGATGTAAATATAGACTCAAAAGTGTATACTCCTATGTTGATGCCTTAGTTTTTTGTTTGTTTTTGTTTTTTGAGACGGAATTTTGCTCTTGTTGCTCAGGCTGGAGTTCAATGGCGCAATCTAGGCTCACTGCAACCTCCACCTCCTGGTTCAAGCGATTCTCCTGCCTCAGGTTCCTGAGTAGCTGGGATTACAGGCTTGTGCCACCACGCCCAGCTAATTTTTTGTATTTTTAGTAGAGATGGGGTTTCATCATGTTGACCAGGCTAGTCTCGAACTTCAGGTGATCCACCCACCTCAGCATCCCAAAGTGCTGAGATTACAGGTATGAGCCACAGCCCCTGGCCTTGATGCCTTAGTTTTATACTTTATATTCTATATAGGCATAGTATCTACACTGGTTTTGTGGATCTTATATCATTCTCTTTCCATAGAGTTAGAGAATACATTAGAAAATATTATTGTGTTTGAAAGTATCTTATTGAATATTTCAGGTCACTCATATAAATCAGAGTCAGTTTTCTTAGCTCTCTTATTTCATCTTGGTTTGCCAAATGATGAACTCTGCCCATGGCCACATGGTCAATGTGCTATTTATTTTTATTTCAGGGACTGTTGACATTCAGGGATGTTGCCATAGAATTCTCTCAGGAGGAGTGGGAACACCTGGACTCAGATCAGAAGCTTTTATATGGGGATGTGATGTTAGAGAACTACAGAAACCTGGTCTCTCTGGGTGAGGATAACTTGCCTTTGGAATATCTAACATCTAATAACTAAGGGTTTTATTTCTGTCCTTTGTAGAATGTCACTTGGGAGCTTATGCTTTATATGAATGAATTCAGGTTCCTGCTTCCAGGAAAAAAAAAAATTGTGGGTTTGTTGTAAAAAAGACTTCCTAATGTTTGATCTTGACATTTGCCTTCTTTCTTGAGATGATGTCGAAGCTTCACTGTAGTTTAGTGGTGATTCTAGAAATGGAGTGACATAAACTATGATTGCCCACACTTTAAAATCCAATTCCTTCTCCTTATTTTTGATTTAGTCATACTTGGAAGTGAAGCTCAGGATTCCTGTGTTTAAAATGTTTCCTAAGTATTGTAAAGAAGCTGACAGGAAACAGTGTTTGGGGAAGTAATTTTCTAGGATCCTCTATAATGTTCCCTCTTTACTGAGTATCCTACTGAGCTGGCAATTAAAGAACTCCCAGCAAGAGTCATGTGACTTTTTCTGATAAAACAGGTCTCGCTGTCTCTAAGCCGGACCTGATCACCTTTTTGGAGCAAAGGAAAGAGCCCTGGAATGTGAAGAGTGAGGAGACAGTAGCCATCCAGCCAGGTAGGTGGGAGCAGATGAAGTAGATGACATGGGTGAGAGGTCCAGCAGTCAAGAAAGAACCAGACCTTGGAGTGTGAATTGGGAAGTTCTCCAATGGAAATGATTTTTGAGACACTTGGGTTTATTTCTTTCTCTTGCTGTCACAGAGGGACATCTTCTGTCTCATGTTCTTAAATTATCTGATGATTCTCCTTCCCCTTCTGTGATCCACCATCAAATTCACAGTGACAGCCAAAGTGCTCCCCTTGGCCTATGAGGGCCTGTGTGATCTGACTGCCCTTGCATTGATTTGGGGGCTCTGGGAAAGTCTGGGCATGTTTCTACCTCTATGTGGAACCCCTTTTAAAGTTCTGGTTTTGCGTCATGTCAGAAATGTGTGAGATGAGTGATGGACAGTAGGATTTTTTTCAAAAGTCCCAGGAATTCTGTGGATAGATGTCACATATTTTCTGGTATATTAATTTCTAATCCTATGGTTGTTTCCAAGATGATCCTACAAAAATTGAGACTCAGTAATTCATCACAGTGCAAAACATCTTCCTAAATATAAAAAAAAATCTGATCCTGTATTTCACTTCAATTTTTCATCTTTCCTAGTCTAAACTAAGATTAGAAATATAATATCTGTATGCACAAATTCCACAGATTTAAAATAATTTAATATAATACTATGTAGAATTCTTAACTAAATAAATATCTATGGGGAGCTGAGAACATTGTTCAGTATATAGTAAACCTTCAACTCTTACCTTATATATTCATAACATTTTATAATTTTGTCTGGTTAAGCGGCAAGCTTAATGAGAATGTGTTCTTTATGTTCGTTTTCTTTCTCTTCCTTTTCTTTTTTCTTTTCCTTCCTTCTTTCATGTGGATTTTTTCCCCACACTTGTAAATTATATATATTTGAGAGGTGCATCCTGATCATTTGATTTTATCTATGTATACAGTGTGTATTGATTAATACAATGAAATTAATTAACATATTAATCATCTCACAGTTGCCAGGTTTTTTGTGGAGAGAACATTAAAGATCTACTGTGTTAGCAAATCTTAAGTATATATGAGTATTGTAAACTATATTCACAATGCTGTACATTAGATCCCCAGAATTTATCTTTTAAATGAAAGTTTGTACTCTTTGACCAGTATCTCCCCAGTTTTACCACCTGTCAGCTGTTGGGACCCATTCTATACTTTACTTCTATGAGCTCAACTTTTTTTAGATTCCACAAATAACTGATATTATACAGTATCTGTATTTCTCTTACTCAGTTACCATAGTGTCTACCTGGTTCATTCATCCGTGTTGTCAGAAATGGCAGGATTACCTTCTTCATTATGCTGAATAATATTCCACTATATATTGTGAATAATCAGCTATGAACATAGGGGTGCAGATATCTCTTTAACTGATTTTATTTTATTTATTTATTTATTTATTTTTGAGATGGAGTCTCACTTTGTTGCCCAGGCTGGAGTGCAGTGGTGCCATCTTGGCTCACTACAACCTCCACTTCCCAGGTTGAAGCGATTTTGCTGCCTCAGCCACCCGAATAGCTGGGATTACCTGCTTGTGCCACCCCGCCTGGCTAATTTTTTTGTATATTTAGTAGAGACGAGGTTTCGCCATGTTGGCCAGTTTGGTCTTGAATTCCTGGCCTCAAGTGATCTGCCTGCCTTGGCCTCCCAAAGTGCTGTGATTACAGGCGTGAGCCACTGCTCCTGCCAGATTGTATTTCTTTTAGGTATATACTTAGAAATAGGATTAGAGGTTCATATGGTACTTCTATTTTTAATTTTTTGAGGAGCCTCCATGCTTTTTCCCATAATGGCTGGATCAATTTACATTTCCACCAACGGTGTACAACGTTTCCTTTTCTCCACACTGTCACCAGCATTTGTGATCTCTTGTCTCTTTGATAGTAGCCATTCTAACAGTATGAGGTGATATCTCATGATGTGATATCTCATTGTGGTATCTCTCTGTAAATGTGAGGTGATGGCTCATTGAGGTTTGATGTGCATTTCCCTGATGATTAATTATGTTGAGCACCTTTTCTTAAACCTATTTACTACTTTTATGTCATCCCTGGAAAAATTTCTAGTCAGGTCCTTTGAATAGTTTTAAGTCAGATTTACTTTTACTGGCAATTGAGTTGTGTGAGATTCTTACATCTTTTGGATATGAAACTCTCATCAGATATATTTTCTCCCAGTCCTTAGGCCAGTCCTTAGGTTGCCTTTTCATGTTGTTCTTTGTTTCCTTTGCTGTGCAGAAACTTTTTAGTTTGATGTAGGCCCACTTGTTTTTGTTTTTTGATTTTGTTGGTTGTCCTTTTTTGGTGTGAAATCTAAAAATTCAGTACCAAGGCTGATGTCGAAGAGTTTGTTCCCTGTGTTTCTTCTAAAAGTTACACAATTTCTGGTTTTACATTTAAGTGTTAATTCTTTTTGAGTTCATTTTTGTATATGGTATAAATGTTCAATTTCGTCCTTTTGCTCATAAATATCCACCTTTTCCAGCATCATTTATTGAAGAGACCATACTTTTCCCTTTGTGTATCTTGGTGCCCTTGTCAAAGATTGCTAACTGTATACACATGGGGTTATTTTTAGTTTCCTTGTTCTGTTCCATTGGTCTATGTGTCTTTTTAGGTCAATATAATACTCACTATTAGTATAGCTTTGTAATAGCTTGGAATGAAGACGTGTGATGCCTTTACCTTCATTCTTATTTCTTATGATTGTGTTGGCTATTTGGGGTCATTTGTGGTTTTATAGAAATTTGAAGGCCAGATGTGGTGGCTCACACCTGTAATCCCAGCACTTTGGGAGACCGAAGCAGGTGGATCACTTGAGGCCAGGAGTTTAAGACCAGCCTGGCCAACATGGCGAAACCCTGTCTCTACTAAAAATACGAAAATTAGCCAGGTGTGGTGGCGCATACCTGTAATCTCAGCTGTTGAGGAGGCTGAGGCAAGAGAATTGCTTGAACCCAGGAGGTGGAGGTTGCAGTGAGCCAAGAGCACGCCACTGCACTCCAGCCTGAGCAACAGCGAGACTCTATCTCAAAAAATATATATAAAATAAAATAAATTTTAGAATTTGTTTTTATTTCTGTGAAAACTGACGTTGGAATTTTAATAGGGATTACTTTGTATCTGTATATCACTTTGTGGAGTGTGGACATTTTATCAGTATTAATTTTTCCAGTCCATGAACAAGGGCTATCTTTCCATTTATTTGTGTCTTTTTCAATTACATTCATCAGCGTCTTACGGATTTTAATAAGCAGATCTTTTACCTCCTTTATTAAATGGAGTCATAATAATTTTACACTTTTTGATGCTATTACAAATTGGATTGTTTGCTTAACTTTTTTTCTCAGATCGTTTATTGTTAGTATATAGAAATGCTACTAATTTTTGTATGTTAATTTTGTGACCTCAGCTTTACTGAATGAGTTTATTAGCTCTAACTCTTTTTGTATACTCTTCAGGATTTTCTGTATATAAAATCACCTAATCTGCAAGCGGAGGGAATTATAATTCTTTGTTGCTGATGTGGGTGCCTTTTATTTCTTTTTCTTACGTAATTGCTCTTGTTGCAGGGCAGGTGAGCCCCCAGATTGGGGCTTATCCTGGGAAGGTTCATAGCTTCACTCAGGAAGAATTCAAATGCAAGGTAGTGGTAGAAGAAAACAGCTTTATTG